TTTTTTGAGGAGAGGGGAACTTGGACTTACCCACAGGCCAGGCTGCGGATTTTCCAGCCGCAGAGGTCCTGCACCGCTTTGGGGTACATGGTGGACTCCCGGGAGGTGTTGGTGGCACCCCAAAAAAACAAACCGCCTGCAAAACCCCGCACCCGGGTATCACCCCATCAAGCTACAGCACCCCCAAACCCCCCAAATTTTCTCTTAAAACACCCAAGCACCCACCTGTCTCGCTGACGGCGAAGGAGCAGGTGTAGCCGGCGTAGATCTGCGCCGCCCCGCGCCCCGGGAAGTCGAAGAGCTTCACCAACCGGGGCACCATCTCGTCCTTCTGCTCGGCGTGGCCCAGCCGCCCGTAGCCCCCGAAACCCCAGGAGAAAACGCGCTTCTGCGAGTCCAGCACCAGCTGGGGATGGAGGAACATCACCGGCACCGTCAGCACGTGACACCCCGCCCGCTCGGTGCAGGGACAGCAGCCGCGGTAAGTCGCATCGCCCGCAGCGCGTGTTGCAAACGTTAAGTGCTGCAAATCTTTAGCGCTAAATGCACCCCGCGAATCTGTCCTTAAATGCACGCTGCAAGTATTTAGCCTTAAATGCAAGAATTTAGCCTTAAATGCACCCTGCAGATCTCTATCCTTACATGCACACTGCAGGAATTCAGCCTTAATGCACGCTGCAAGTTTTTATCCTTAAAACGCACGCTGCAAATCTCTACCCTTAAATGCACGCTGCAAATTTCTGTCCTTACACGCACGCTGCAAGGATTCAGCCTTAAATGCACGTTGCAAATCTGTGTCCTTAAATGCACGTTGCAAATCTCTATCCTTAAATGCACGTTGCAAATCTCTATCCTTAAATGCACGTTGCAAATCTCTATCTCTGTCCTTACACGCACGCTGCAGATCTCTGTCCTTACACGCACGCTGCAGATCTCTGTCCTTACACGCACGCTGCAGATCTCTGTCCTTACACGCACGCTGCAGATCTCTGTCCTTACACGCACGCTGCAGATCTCTGTCCTTACACGCACGCTGCAGATCTCTGTCCTTACACGCACGCTGCAGATCTCTGTCCTTACACGCACGCTGCAGATCTCTGTCCTTACACGCACGCTGCAGATCTCTGTCCTTACACGCACGCTGCAGATCTCTGTCCTTACACGCACGCTGCAGATCTCTGTCCTTACACGCACGCTGCAGATCTCTGTCCTTAAATGCACGCTGCAGATCTCTGTCCTTACACGCACGCTGCAAATCTCTGTCCTTACATGCACGTTGCAAATCTCTGTCCTTACATGCACGTTGCAAATCTCTGTCCTTACATGCACGTTGCAAATCTCTGTCCTTACATGCACGTTGCAAATCTGTCCTTAAATGCACGTTGCAAATCTGTCCTTAAATGCATGTTGCAAATCTCTATCCTTACATGCACGCTGCAAACCTCTGTCCTTACATGCACGCTGCAATTTAGCCTTAGCTGCTCCTGCAAACATTTACCTGTAGATGCACGCTGCAAATGTTTAGCCTTAGTTGCTCCTGCAAACATTTACCTGTAGATGCACGCTGCAAATCTTTAGCAATTAATGCCCGATGCAGGTTATTTATGGTTAAACGCACTCTGCAAATATCCTTAAACGCACCCTGCAAATCTCTACCTTCATATGCACCCTGCAAGTTTTTATCCTGAAATACACACTGCAAATATTTATCCTGATATGCGTGCTGCAAATCTCTATACTTACATGCACAAAACTTGACCCCTTAAATGCACGCTGCAAATCTTGACCCCTTAAATGCATGCTGCAAATCTTTATCCTTAAATGCATGCTGCAAATCTTTATCCTTAAATGCATGCTGCAAATTTCAATCCATAAATGCACGCTGCAAATCTCCAACCCTAAATGCATGCTGCAAATCTTTATCCTTACATGCACACTGCAAACATTTACCCTAAAATGCATGCTACAACTCTCTAGCCTTAAATGCACCTGCAAAACTTTATCCTGAAACACTCCTGCAAGCGTTTCCCCCGAGACGCACGCTGCAGGTTACGGCCGTGCAATGCACCCTGCGAACGTCGGTGCCTACCGTGTGGTTGGCCCCGCACGCCACGTCCCGCACCACCACGTTGGGGACGGGCAGGATCTGCCCATCCTTGGTCTTCTCGATGAAGATGGCCACACGGCGCGGCACCAGCTCGCAGTCGTACTCGATCCGCTGCGCCCGGGCGATGAATTTCCCGTCCGAATTATGCCCTGCGGATGGACACCGGCATCAAAACGGGGCATTCCGCCCCTGGCACCCCGTTATTTCCAACCCAGCTGCCCAAATCCCCTGTCCTTTTGCAACCCCCTTTTTCTTTGCAGCTCCCACCCCGCTAGTTTTGCTGGTTAGCCAGATGGGGAAACTGAGGCAGGGATTTTATTTTATTTTTTTTCCCCCCCAACACCGTAATAGCTCCAAATTTTACCAGATCACCCCAAAACAGCACCGTACCCAACTGCCCATACTCGGGGCACCCGAAGGAGTAGAGGTTTCCTTTGCAATCCATGATCATGCTGAACTCGGCTCCGCAGGCCAGTTTGGTGATGGGCTGCCCGTTGTACATGATCTGTGCCGGAAAAGCAGAAATGGAGGTGAAAAAAAAAAAGAAAAAAAGAGAGAAAAAAAGGCAAAACCCCCCAAATTTCCCCAAATCCTCAAAATCTGCTTTCATTTCAAATCCCTCTTTGTATTTACATGCACCGAAGCCACAAACAACTCTCCTGCATCCACAAGTGGTTTGAGCTCTGCCAGGGATTTTTTTTCCCCTTTTTTCAACGAGAAAGCCCCAAATGGGCTGTTTTTTCACCCAAAACCAACGATGAGAAGCGGCCATACCTGCGTAGGACTGGGCACGGCGTCCGTCTGGTTCCCCAACCCCAACTGCCCCATTTTATTCTCCCCGAAGGCGAACACCGACCCGCTCTCTGCAAAGCAAAAAAAAAACCAAAAACCACCAACAAAAAACGGGGTGTTTTGGGGCAAACCAGCCTGATTTGAGATAAATTTGCCCAAAATATGAATTTTTACCCCGGCTGACGTACCTGTAAGTGCCAGGGTGTGGTTGCGGCCGCAGGCTGCCAGCACGATGGCTTCGCCCCCCAACACCTCGATGAGCTTCGGGGCTTCCACCCGCTTCGTGTCCCCGTGTCCCAACTGGCCTTTTTCATTGCGACCTCGACGGCAAAAAAATCACTTTTTTTTTAGGTTTTTTGCAGCGAAACGGGAGGTGCACAGAATCATAGCATCACAGAATGGTTTGGGTTGGAAGGGACCTCCAAGACCATCCAGTTCCAACCCCCCTGCCATGGGCAGGGACACCCTCCACTACACCAGGTTGCCCAAAGCCTCATCCAACCTGGCCTTGAACACTGCCAGGGATGGGGCAGCCACAGCTTCTCTGGGCAACCTGTGCCAGTGCCTCACCACCCTCAGAGGGAAGAATTTCTTCCTCAGATCCCATCAAAATCTCCCCTCTTCCAGTTCAAAGCCATCACCCCGTGTCCTGTCACTCCACACCCTTGTCCAAAGCCCCTCTCCAGCTTTCTTGGAGCCCCTTTAGGTACGGGGAGGTGCTGGAAGGTCTCCCCGGAGCCTTCTCTTCTCCAGGCTCAACAGCCCCAACTCTCCCAGTCTGTCTCCAGAGCAGAGGTGCTCCAGCCCTTGCATCATCTCCATGGTCCCCCTCCATGTCATGATGCTGCCAGGGTGGTTGGGTTGTTTTTGGGGGTGTCCCGTGGTGCCCCCCCCAGCGCTCACCCCAGCTCCAGAGCTTTCCCTCGGCGGTGATGAGGAGGCTGTGAGCGGCGCAGGGTCCCGAAACCACGCTGCGGACCTGAACGCCGGCCAGGCACCCGTAGCGGTGCGTCTGGCCCAGATTCCGATAGGCAACTGTATTCCCCCCCCAAAAAAAAAAATAAAAATTAATTAATCACAAAAGTCACCTGAAATAAATTCAAAATTTATTTCGAATTTATTTCACGCGTGCAAAATAAAAGCAGGTGGAATATAAAGGCATCAAAAGTCAAGCGGAGCGTTTGTTTTGCTGCGCAGGAGGATCCGGTGCAATCCCAAATTCTGGCCCAGATCAGGATATGGAACTGCAACTCCTCCCCAGATTAATTAATTAATAATAATCATCATCATAAAATATAAATGCGTTAAAATTAGCTGAAAGATTAATGAAATATAAAGGCCTCAAAAGTAAGGAGCGTGTTTATTTTGCTCGCAGATCTGGTGCACCCCAAATTCTGGCTCTGCAATTGTAAACACTTCTCCCCACCCCCAAACCATTAATTAATAAAAAATAATAATTGAACATAAATGCATTCAAAATTAGCTGAAAAATCAATGAAATATAAAGGCATCGAAAGGAAGCAGCACTTTCATTTTGCTGTGCAAAAAAATGATCTGGTGCACCCCAAGTTCTGGCTCAGATTAGGATATGGAACCGTTAACTCCTCCCCAAATTAATTAATAATAATAATTAAATATAAATGCATTAAAAAGAAGCACATTTAATATAAAGGCATCCAAGTAAGCAGCGTGTTTATTTGGCTTTGCAGGAAATCCGGCGCCCCCCAAGTTCTGGCTCTGATTACAATATGAAACTGTAATAAAAAACCCTCCACAACCATTAATTAATAAAAATAGTAATGAAATATAAACGCAAAAAAAATTAGCTGAAAAATTAATGAAATATAAAGGCATCAAAAGCGAGCAGCGTGTTTATTTTGCTTTGAGGGAGATCTGGCGCATCCCAAGATGATGCTCTGCAACTGTAATAAAACCCATCCAAACCCATTAATTAATAAAAATAATAATTAAATGTAAATGCATCAAAATACACACACAAAAAAATAACGAAATATAAATGCATCAAAAATAAGCAGTGCATTTACTTTGCTGTGCAGGAGATCCGGTGCATCTCGCACCCCAAGCTCTGGCCCAGACGACGCTATGTAGCTGTAAGAAAACCCCTCCACAAATATTAATTAATAAAAATAATAATTAAACATAAATGCATAAAAATAACCAGGAAAAAATAATGAAATATTAAGGCATCAACAGCAACCAGCGTGTTTATTTCGCTTTGCGGAGGATCTGGTGCACCCCAAGTTCTGGCTCTGATTACAATATGCGACTGTAAAAAAACCCCTCCGCAACCATTAATTAATAAAAATAGTAATTAAATATAGATGCATTAAAAATTAGCAGAAAAAAATAATGAAATATAAATGCATTGAAAATAAAAAACGCTTTTATTGTGCTTTGCAGGAGACCCAGCGCACCCCAAGTTCTGGCCCAGATTACGCTCTGCAACTGTAAAAAACCAAAAACCCTCCACAAATATTAATTAATAGAAATAATAATTAAAGACAAATGCAGAAAAATAAGCAGAAAAATTAATTCAAATATAAACACACAAACAGTAAGTGCTGCGTTTCTTTTCGCTTTGCAGGACACTCGGCGCGCCCCAGATCACCATATGCAACTGGTTTGCAAAATTTAATTAATTAAACATTAATTAAATATTAATGAAATAAAAATTCAAGAAAACCACTTAATAATAAGGTGAAAAAAATGAATTCAGCGTGTTTTGCTCCCCTCACCTTGCTGCTTAGGCACTTCTTTGCGGCCGATCAAGTCCCAGTTGGTGGCACCGAAGATGAGGAGCTGCCCCCGGCACCGCGAGCCCTCGAGTTTCTGCGGGAACGGGGACAGGGTCAGTGACTGGGGGACACTGGGGGGACACGGGGGTTGTGGGGGACCCCAGGGATACTGGGGACACCAGGGACATGGGGGATGTGGAGGACACTGGGATCTAGGGAGACATGGGGGACATGGGGGACCCCAGGGATACTGGGGACACCAGGGACATGGGGGATGTGGAGGACACTGGGATCTAGGGAGACATGGGGGAC